CAGTGAATTTACGTAATAAGCAAAAATATTACCAATTTTAGCAAATGATAAATATTCTGCCATAATTTTACCTGATTTCTACTCCAGATGTAGTAAATATATTTGATCAGCAGGTAGCACAGGCGTTTAGTTATTCCGAGGTGTTTGGCAGCGGTCGGTCAGCGGTGGAGAGAGGTCATAAAAGCGGCTGCGCTTATCTTAGAGAGTATACGGCCTTGTGGCTACAACCATTGAAACAGATTCGGGCTTTCCCGCAGGCCAGGGGAAGCCACAGCTGAAAGCGGAGGCCTATCTGGACTCTTTTTCAGATTTGGCTTTCCTCTGCTGAAAGCCGAAACTTACTCACCTCTAGGCAGCTAGAAACTGGGTGGATGACTGAGCAGCACAGCTGCGGTGGGTCAGCTGCTAGCCGGGAACGCCTGTGGAGAGAGGGTGCTTTCCGGGCCTAGGCGGCGGGCCCGATGGAACCCATAGCCTGTCCCAAATGGGGTGTGGGTTTCCAACATCCCACTTCTGACACCAGATATAGTAAGAAATTACCAATACGGAGTCAGGTAGAAATATAAGGGTATTTAATAGGGAAAAGCCTTACTTACAGAGCGAACCAGCCAGCCGGTGGTAGTCTGTACAGCAAGAAGCAAAGAGAGACCGAAACCGAAAACGCAGTCCCCCTACTCACTCTGACCACGCCCTCACAAGCCCTCAGGTACTCTTGTAGCCAGCCCCTAAGAAGGCGTGGCTACAGCTTCCCCTACAGTAGTATATCGGACCAGGACTGTGTTAGTTTTGGGGGCTGATTTTCTCGTTCTCGTTTGCTAAGATGGGACAAGCTAAGCTCTTTCTAAGAAGAGCTGATAAGAACACAGATGAGGATGAAACCAAAAAACAAACGGATCCTGTGTGGCACAGCCACTATTAGCACTACATGGGTATTTGAGTGGGGGGCAGTGTGACAGGCGGGGAGCTGCCTATTGTCCATGGCCTATTCTGTGTGGTGTGCCTAGGAGAAAGCCAGTACAGAGTAGCCAGCCCACAGAAACCACCCCATGACAGGCAGGTTAGCTTTGTTCTAACTATGCTTTCCATGCCAGCTGCCAATGGTTTCAAAAAACGGAAAAAAAAAAAAAGGGGGAGGGCAACAGTGGACAAATTTGGAGTTTGGGTCATAGCCACATGAATTTCTTAGTTCCGACAAATGAATGGTGATGAAGATGCCACTCTTAGGGAAGTCTATGTGGAAGCTCTTAGAGCTGTCCTTGCAACTGTTCTGTAGATCTAAAATTGTTCCAAAGTATTAAAAAAAACAACAAAACTCGTATTTCACATGAAGATGACCTAGGCGCTGTAGGCATAGGTTCACTCATGGTGACAACACAAAGTATATGGCTGCTGTGCTTAGAGTCTATTGTAATAGTGTGGGAATAATGGATCTTTAGTCCTGCTTTTCTTTCTGGCAGATTCGACATTCTTACCTTTCCACCCACCCCAGGGGTTGTTTTAGATAGTGCTGCTGACTCCTATTTTTATTTCAATATTTGATAGCAGAATAATTCGTGAGCCACTGTTTAACGATAGAATTAGTTGGAGGACGTGCTAAGAGGTAGCAGCAGGTCAAGGGAAGAAGTTTAGAGAAACTAAGGAGAAAATGCCCGCATGCGTTATGCAGACAGCACTTTGAAAACACCCCAGGTTTAATATATGCTGAAGCTCACACCCAACTGAGGCCAAGGCTCGTGGAGTGTGCTGTCTAAAGGTGCAGTACTGTGCTCAGGGCCTAGCTTGTTTGGTCACTTTGTGGCCCCTCCAGCTGTTAAGCACAAGGTAAAGGGTGGGCAACTTAGCGGGGGAGTGGAGAGATATAACCTTTTTTCTTATTTTTTGACAGCTGCAAACCACACGGAGCCTATGAATCTTAATTTTAAAGTGAAGGAGGAACCCAAGGAAGAGGAATCCCTAAGCGCACCTTTGCCTCGGTCCAGTTATGTGTTCAGCCCGGAACCGGAAGTGGCGACCCCTAACCTCTCCGAGGACCCACTGACGCCCCAGGAAGGCAAGGGCAACGTGCCAAGGCGGGACATGTCTGTTAAAGCTGCCTCAGAACTCCTCATGAAACTCTCAGGTACCCAACAGATTCTCAAATCTTTCCATTCTGGTCATTTCACGTGCAAGCCGACCGGAGCGCTTCCTGCATGGCTTATGATTAACCGGATGGTGATGGTAGCGTGAAAACGGTGAAGTTAAGGAATGATCAGGTCGTTGGCTTCAGTTCCTATGTTACATGCATGAGTTTCTTCGTTTCTATCTCTCGGTGCTGTAGCTATCTAGACATTGGCTTCAGTTCCTGTGTTCGATGTGAGTCTGTTCGTTTCTCCTTGTGCTGTACCTATGTAGATACAGCTTTCTATTTCTGAATATTATTAGAGATGGTTAGAAAACACTACTGGCCTCTGAGATGATCTAGACCATGGCTTTAAGTGGATTCGAACAGTATCCACAGGATTTCTTCTAATTGATCACAATACCTTTTCTTAAGAGAAGATCCTGTGTCTTTTATGCATTTATACTATATTCTTTAAGGATTATTAAAATATTTTACTTGATGAGCAGTTGGGGTGGCACTCAAAGCAATTACCAACAGAGTAGCAATGAGTGATTTTGGGAATAGAGAACTTCCTGATGTAATGTTACAAAAATTAACCTGTTCTTAAGATGAATGAATATCTAATATCTAAATGTAATCTCAACTTACTGGCTATAAGAAAAATGGGCTATAAACTGAAGCTAGTTATTTGGATTTTTTGGTAGCAGTATCTACCTGGTCCTCTGCAACAGGTAGAAAATTTAGTGTCTTGGGTGACTGGGTATGACTTTCAGAACATGGAAGAAAAAGCTGTATTGGTAATCACACCTGTCAAGTCATAGCTATATTCAGTTCGATGCCTCCTGAAGGTAATTTTTTAGGAGCTGTTTGAAGTGCTAATATGAATCAAAAGCTGTTTTTCGTTGGGAACTTGCTGTGCTTGGAGGATGAAAGCAAGAACTGCCTTAGCAGGACTCCTCTGTGATCTGTAATTTCATCAGCAATTCTGATGGTGTTCCTGGTTTACTAGTAGGTTGGAAAGTAAGAAATTAATAGTGATTTACTTAAGAGTCAGCATATCAGAACAGTTGAAATTCCTGTGTCTGCCAGTTGGTGGGGTTAATAATTCTTGTTTTTGATGTTAATCCAAAGCACACTGGGATTTGAGGAGAACATGATTTATCTAGTGTAAAGCATGATGGAATCACTGTGGTCTTACTTAACTCCTTTTTCCCAGACTTTGCAGTGATGCTGTAGTAATGTATCTTACATTGATGGAGGTCTAGCATGATCCCAAAGCTGGGAAGCTGAAACAGTCATGGTAGAACCCATATAATTTAGTGTATTTGTGTCTTCCTACTGTGCCAAATTATCTCAGTGATACAGTCATCTCTCTTTTGTTACTGTTCAGTCAGTCCAAAGAGGTCACCCACCTCTCTTGTTCTCCCTGAGGTAGCTCTCCCAATACAATGGCTTAAACTGTCTTTCCCCGGTGATACCTGTGCCCTCCTTGACAGTAGATTCTGCCAGCTAATATTGCTGTTTCGAAATACTATGTAGCTGCTATCGAGAGCAGAGAAGGCTGGTACCACACTGAACGAGATTGTGAAAGTGTTGAATGAGATTTCAGGGCAGATGTTCTTTAAGGAAAATATTTTATCTTCATCCCTTTGGATGATGCTATTTGAGAGATGGAAATAGAAAACTATTTTCTAGATAATAATGAGAACCCCCAAGAGAGAAATGCTGTCATGAACATCTAATGATATTTGTGGGCAATGAAGGCTCTAAGTGTGTGCATTGACTTTTACTGAGTGTATGTGCAGTGGGGGTTAACGATAGCTGAATGAATGGTACTGTTTCTGAAGGGCAACCATGCTTCATAATGTGGAAATAAACTTTCATGAAGACTGATAACTGTTTTCTTCCCTGAAAAATTTCTACATAGACAAGACTTGGGTCAAGGTTACATACATCCAAATTCCTGCGTTTCTGTGCTCTCATCAGCAGTGTTTGAGACTGTGTTCTTTGAGTGCATTGATACCATTTCTCTTAATTTCATGAGCAGGTCAGGTGGCCATTGAAATAATTACCAAGTGAATTAACAGTAAGAGACCTTTAAGACTAGAGAATTTCCTGTTATCCCTAGTGGGATTATATCGTCAGTTGCATGCCCTAAAGATGGCTGTAATTTTTTTTTTTTTTTTTTTTTGAGGCAGTTTCTCTTGTAGCTCTGTAGACCATGCTGGCCTCAAACTCACAGAAATCTGTCTCCCAAGTGCTGGAACTAAAGGTGTGTGCCACCACTGCCCAGCTGATGCCTGTAATTTTTTACCATTATCTAAATGTGGCCTTTACCTGTCCAGTGTAAGAAAGATAAGCAGTGGGATCCATATGGTCAGGTCAGCATTGCTTTCTTAAGTCCTAAATTGGGTGAGTGGGGTAAAAACAAATGTCTTCTCATTCCAAAGCCATGAGATAAGAGGTTCCTTTCGTAGGGGTGAAGTGGATATTAAACTCTGTGAAGAGATACATGCCTGTAATTCCAGTATGCAGGAGCAGGAGACTGAGGTAGTATTGTGAGTCTGAGTACACCCCCCCACCAAAAAAAGTAAATAGACGGCCCAATAAGAAGTCTTAAGTTCTCTGTCCTTAAGATACCATTTTAACCGTTTGAACAGTCATGCCCTGAAAGACACCCAAGTAAGGGACAATCAGCACCTTCTTATTACCTTGCAGACAAAAGTAAGTATCCACTTCCCAAAACCAGTACAGTACCAGGGTGGCCTCCAGAGTCTTATTCTTGGCATTCTGTGGGCAGCTGTCCTTGTATCTTCTCACCTTGCACAATCTCATGCATAGACTCTTTCATTTTCTGCAAAATCCTTTGGTCAGAATGAACCTGTGTGAAACACCTTTAGCAGTCCCTTCTTAGCCAGTGCGGGGTACACATTCAGGGACGCTAGTGTATGTCTAAAACTGCAGAGAGCACAGAATCCTATAAAGTCCCACCGCATACATTCTAACTTATGGTTAGGCATAGTAAGAAAATAGCAAATACAGCAATTTCTTTTGTTTGTTTTTTGAGACCTGGTCTCACTATATAGTCCTGGCTGGCCTGGAACTCACAGAGGTCTGCCTGCCTCTGCCTCTAGAGTGCTGGGATTAAAGGCATCTACTGCCCTGCCTGGGTACAACAGTGTATTACAATACAAGTTGTTCAAATCTATAAATAGTTTGTTGTGGAATTATCATTTACTATTTTGGGAACTTGATTGACGGTAATAACTGGCAACCATGGAGGGTGAAACCTGGATAAGGTAGGAAGATGACAGTATTATTGTAACAGTAGTGTTTCTGTTTTGATTCAAAGAACAGCTAAGGAAAGGGTTTTCTTTTTCTCTTTCCTTAGATATGTTTTTAGTGAATTAACAGAATAAATTAGTCAGTGATTTGGGTTGTCTCCTGTTTCCATGTTTAAATTAGCTCATGCTCATTCCACAAGGATAAATGATGGGCACATGGTCCAGTCACACACACATCCCATTAGGCTTCCCATGTGGAGAAACCTGTGCAGGAAGGGTGCTTTCTAGTTGGATACTTAGGTTCTCTGGGGAAACACACTGAGCTAGGACCAGCTAACCCTCCCATGGCCTGTGTGTTGAGAATTTTCTTCTTTACTATGCTTTCCATCCCCTTCCCAGTGGTTAATTGTGGAGTTGAGTGTATGACAGTAAATTGATATCCGCTTTGAGGAAATGACTGGATGTCATGACTACCTGTTGTGTGACACACAGCAACTCAGACCATCAAACTTCTCTGCTAAGCCTATGCTTTGCCAAAGCTAATTCCCCAAAACCTTATCTAAAGAGGCCAACATTTCAAAGTTTAGCGCTGAGGGTTACTCATTAGACATGTTGGTACTGATTTGGTCTGTTGACCTTGTTAACTTATATCATAAATGTGGTCACAGACGTGACGTATGCTCACTGCTGTGCTTTGAGAGAAGTAGGTAGGTTCAAAGAGATAAGCAGAGACTGCCTTTCTCTTTCTGGAATTGCATGTTGAATAGGAATGCACATGTAGAATGTACCATGGACAGTTGGACAAACCTAAAGGACCAGTTAAGAATGATGTTTAAACCGGGCAGTGGTGGCACACCCCTTTAATCCCAGCATTCAGGAGACAGAGGCAGTTGGATCTGTGTGTGATCAAGGTCCCCCTGGTTTACAGAGCTAGTTCCAGGATAACCAAGGCTACACAATGAAACCTTGTGTTAAAAACAAAACAAAACAAAACAAACAACCACAAAACAAAGACATTTAAAATGAAAATTCTGGGGCTAGAGAGATGGCTCATTGGTTACAAACATAAACTAAGGATAAGAGTTTGGTCCTATCAGATCCAGGGGAACCTGGCACCTCTGGCCTCCACAGGTACCTGCACTTACATCCAATACCCCTTCTTTTGCCGCCTGTACACATAGGTACACATAGGTGTATCTTTAAAAAGAAAAGAAGAATTACTCCAGGCTGTGGAAGTGACTCATTAGTTAAAGACCTTTCTAAGTAAGCTTGGGGATCTGAATTCTGATCCCCTGATCCCATGGAAAAGCCGGCCATTGCAACGCACCTCTCTCGTCCCAGCACTGGGAGGCCAAGACAGGAGCATCCCTGAGGCCAGTCAGTCTAGCCAGGCGTTGAGCTTCAGGTTCAGTGAGTGTTCTTGTCACAAAAACTAAGATGAACTGTGATGGAAGGCATCAGATGACAATCTGGCTTCCACATTTGTTTTCATTGGCGCGCGCACGGGTGTGTGTGTGTGTGTGTGTGTGTGTGTGTGTGTGTGTGTGTGTGTGTGTGGTTTAAGGATGTCTTTGGAAGCCAGACCCCCTGGAGGTGATGGTTATAAGCCACCCAAAGTGGGTTCTGGGAACTGGACTCTAATCTTCTGCTAGCACTCTTACCCTCTGGTCTGTCCCTCCAGCCTTGGTCTCTTTTCTTTACAAGCCATACAGCCTCTGATTTTCTTTTTATGAG